ATATTTTAGAGCAAGTAAGTAGCTCTCAAATTGCACCACTTTGACAACTGTCCATTTCCCAACTTTAGGGTCAGCCCTGTTGACTACATACTAGTATGAAGAGTCTATAATTAACAATTCAAAACAACAATAAAATGTCACTCAGTACAGGGACTTAGCCTTAATTTAATCACTGTATCGTCAGCACTTAGAACAGTGCCTGGTCCGTGGTAGACACTTAAATATGTTTTAAATGAAAAGGCATAAAGAAACTAATGCAGACTCACAACAGCTCTTCAGTGAGTCTTTACAAAAATAGGAAGAATCATCATATCAATGTCAATGTGCCAAGTAATACAAGTTATTTTCAAAATTCCCTCAGAACATTTTTCTCCTTTTTAAATGTTGATTTTCTTTAAAAATTCTCCCAACTAGAAAAGCTAATTAACAATCACATCCATTAATCTATTAAAAATGTTAAAGTAATTCATAATGAAGCATCATGCTCATCTTCCACCTTCTATTAAAACGAAACAAAAAAACACCTGTACCTGTTTAACAATCATCCATCTGAATTAAAACCATAAGATGAAATAAGTCACTGCTAAGCGACTAACCCCAACTAACATCGAGGAGGTAGAGAAGTATTGAGAGGTGGGAACCGGTGTGTGGAGGGAGAGACAGGACCTACTACTTTGGGAATACAGATAGAGGTTCCATTGTCAGCAGTGCTTCTAAGTGGCCATATGACCTTGAACAAGTTACTTAATTTTAAGTAATTTTTAATGTTTTGAGACTCCATTTTCTCATCTGCAAAATTGGAATAAATTTACTACATCTACTTCATCAAGTCGTTTTAGGGATTAAATGCATGTAAAATGATTTCAAAACAATGAAATGCCATACAAATGTAAAGTATTAACTTTTTTTTTTTTTTGGCTTATTTGTTTTTGGTGGCTGGTCGGTATCAGGATCTGAACTTTTGACCTTGGTGTTACTAACCAACTGAGCTAACCAGCCAGCCCCTATTAACTTCTGACATAAAAATCTTTGGATTTTAAATGGATGGTTTCTACTTATCTTTTTACATCTCTGCTACTCTTCCTATTTCCTAGATCCAAAGATCTGCCAGGACAGGGAGGAACCAGTTCACACCTATGATCTTACCACAAAACACAGTGGGCCCTCAGTAAATATTTATTGAAAAAGATACTCATCCACATATACTAGAAATCAAAATATTCTGTCACACAAAACATCTTACCTTGTAAAGGTTAGTCAGCAGGTTACTTTCCAATAAAATAATAAGTGATGTAACATACATAACAGATGCCTGTGTTTTTGCCAGGAGCTTCCTTTGCACACGTTATTCTGCATGAATGTGATCATTTTACCCTGTGTGAATATAAACTAAAGGAATGTGCTTCACTGTTTTGGTTTCATTTGAGACATGCTTTCTGCATAGAAAATTATTTCCTCTTTCTTTCACACTAGCAAGATTTCTAAAGATGCCAGATTTGTTCTTTGGGTTTTAGTAGTATGCTTTAGTACTCACAAGGAAAACTTGTGCATTTCTCAAACTATTATGTAATTCTAATCAGTAAGAAAATTTTATTTTTGAAAACCATAAATAGATATTCTAATACTTATATGTTATGATTACCATCAGTGTGCTAGAATTTGTCAAGTAAAAGTATAAGCTCTTTCGACACAAAAGATCCTGGTTCCTCTGAACATTATACAATGCCTCAAAAATAGTATTTAAGCATATTTAACTCTAGTTAGTTCCTGATTATCTACACCAAAAAATAAAAATAAAAAAGGAGACATGCTGATCACGGATTATCCATTAATAACTTATATTAAGCCCTTAGATGATAGTTTTATATTTACAGTTGAATATGGGTATCCCTGAGATGCAAAATTCCTAATAGTTCAAACCAAACAATGAAACCACCTGTAAAAGTAGCCAACTAACTCAGCCTTCCCACCTTTTCACTGTTCATTTACCCAACTACATTCTACTGCGAAAATGTATGATTCTTAGTTTGTTGGACTTTATATGCTCATTTTTGTCCATTATGTCTATTATAGCTCAAGGAACATTCCTGAAATAAACGTGAACCATAAAAAAGATTTGTCCCAACAGTATAGGTGACAATTTAATCATAATCTGAAAACAAGTTTTTTCCCACTAAGATTACAGAATTAATTATGTAGCATTTAAAAGATAGCTACTGCATTTATGGGCAACAATCTATCTCATTAGAAGAAAATTTTAAAGTTCTATCCTAACCAGGAATATTATACTACTCATTTTAGCTACAATAAAAGCCAGTTTTAGATTACAGCCTAATTTTAGTTCTTATAAACCTATAAAAACAAAAAGCACACAATATGTATAATATCTGGGACTACATCAAAAATGATAGAACAGGATCATATCACTGTTCAAGGCTGTCAACTTGAAAATGAAGACAGACACAGAATTTTAAATTGGTTCCAGAACAACATTCATGGCCTATTACATCTACTCCTGGGTGCCATCTTCAAACCTTGAGTTACAATCTTTAACACAATACCAGTTCTGCAAGTTTTTTTTTTTTTTTTGGACAGTCCACCAAATGAACTGAAATCAAGGCAACCTGTTCTGGTGGAAAGGACAGAGGTTTCACAGTCAGAAGACTTGGGAGTAAATCCAGACTCTGCCTCTCTGGAGCTACATAACCTTGAGAAGTACTTAATTCTCTCAATCTAAATTTCCTCATCTGTAAAATGACAAGACCACCAATCTGGAAAATTATTTTGTAGATCAAGCCCCTCAGTTTATGTTCTGATTTTTCCAGATGCCTAGGAAATGGGCAACAATCCTACACTACCAAAGAGCTAGCTCACAAAGTTTTATGAAGTATCTCACTGTGGGGATCTCAATTAAACTATATGGGATTTGTTAAAGTTGTAATACTTTTTTCAATCTTTTATTTTTTATTTATTCTTTTTAGACTACTCAAGAGTAGTAGTAAGAAGGGGGAAAGAGTAGAACAAGGAATTAGCCCTGTAAATGACTGTGATCAACTGAGATAACTCACTACCTTTGAGCCACCCCAATATTTTATTTATAAATATTTTAATACATAGAAATGAAAAATTCACAGAGGTTAGAAAACTCTTTGGAAAACTGACAATTTACATATCAAAGATGGAGCCTCAACTATCGACATAAAATTAGAATTGGTTGATTTTTTTCTAAATGTTTGGATGCTTATATTTATTCAAACTTCATGTAGTCAAAATCTTTAAAACTTTCTAAAGAAAGCTGCATTTTAGAACCCAGACACAGCCCAGTTATCTAAACAAAAGGCTACATGATACACCACAGACTCCAGGCAAAGTCACAACAGGATGAGAAAAGAGCCTTCAGCCTCTCTCCGATTTCCTGGCAACTGTTATTTTAAAACTTGATCACATAAACATAAACAGGGAAAACTCCATTTCAGAAAAGCCCCATGGGTTATTATTTATGATCTTTGTTTTTAATACCTCGCATTAATTTACATTAAGTATCATAATGTTCATTACATTTTTCTTGCTCATGTTTCTAGGCACTAATGAAGAACATATATATACATTATATGTAGTTTTATACATTAGTTTTTAATCATGATAATCTTAAAGTCGTTCGTACTTCTATTACTGCCTTTTACGATTAGTTAGTGAAAACAAAAAGGTAACTTAAAAAGCTGAGAGGACAATAAACACACAGAAAATACAAATGCAATGAGCAAATCTGCATAAGGCTCAAATTACTTCGGTTTACCATTCATTGTGAATGTAATTTCTGGGCAACTTAAAATACTCAAAATGAGCTGAGTATTTAAAAGTCAATGAACTATTTTGAAGGGCTGCATTGTTTCAAGCTCTGGCTATAACCCACTTTCTAACATTTGTGACAGTTCTACAATTAACGAAAAAAGACAGGAAGGTACTTTTTTCACTAAACATTTTCCAATCGGAAAACCACAATCCAAGACATCTATGAAGTTCAGTTAATTTGTACAGAAATGCTGTTTTCCTGCCAACCTTTGTACCATGATAACTACCGGCCCAAGTTCAAGATTCACATTTTATAGTGTGAAGACAGTTTCAGCTAAACCCTGAGAATATTAATTTTTAAAACTCTAACTATACTTATATTGCATCTACACCACCAGAGCATAACGCAATGAAACGTTTATTCAGCACGTACGGTAGTTTATTAACTTGGGGCAATGTTCCTAGTTCCCCACTATCTGTAGGTTAGGATTAAGGCGTCCCTCCAACATATACCCCGTGCCAGATAAAATGTCATGCGTTTTTTCAAACTGTAAGGTAATATTTCTGACACGGATGTTCCACTAAGAGCCCTATCAAATTATTTTCTACTTAAAATTAAAACCCCAGAGTTTGAGCATTTTAATAGTTTTAAGGAGCTTTTGGAAATTACCAGGTATAAAAAGTTCTTACTCAGTACCATATCCGCAAATTAACATATTCAAGGTACTGGACCACTTAGAGACTAAAAATACAGCTTTCCAGAGTACCAACCTGGTCTATACGTGATTAAACTTTTAATGGTATCACCTAATCGTCACATCTCCGAACAAGCTGCTCTCCTCCTGCACTGAATTTTAAGAGCGTTTACTGAAAAGAAGATAAAATTATCACGGAGTGTCTACGTCGGAGTTGAACACTTGAGCTGCGCTGCTTCTACCTGGGAGCCAGGTAAGAACTACAAAGGTAACTCGGTGATGCCATGAGAAGAGACTCTCACTGTCCTTCTGTGGAACTGAGAACCACACCTGGCACTACCGAGAGCCGCCGCCGCCCGGGCCCACCCATCACCTGCTTCCCCACCCGCGTACTCGGGAGGCGAACCGAGCCGTCGTCCCTGGGACTGCCCGAGGAGGCCCCGAGGCAGGGCCGAGGCGGGGAAAGCGGAAGCCCGGCGCTGAAGCCCGCAGCGAGGGCTCCGGGACACTCACCGGTGCCGGAGAGAAGGCAGGTGCGCGGCGCCGGGGCTACCTGTCGCCGGTGAGGCTGGAGGGCGGGGTGAGAGGTGCTGAGGGTGAGGGAAGAGGGCGACGACTGGGACGAGCACAGGACCGGGCGGCGAAGCCTGCCGGGCTGCTGCTCGCTTCCTGCTCGGACAGATCCCGGGTCGGTCTCCGCCC